GCTAACAAAACACTCTAAAACTTAAAAATGTTTAAAAATTATTAACATTAAAAAAACTATGGTTTCTGCTTGAAAAAAATTCAATATTTTATCCACTGTTACTATCACAAAAACATATTGTACTTGATTATAGTTTCGAAAAACGGTCAACAATTCTTTTAAAAACAACAAACAAAAACACGTAAACCTCCTCAATATCTTATATCAGGACTTAACTAGCAGCATGCAAGCCTCATTATGTGGTAACAGTCAGCCAAAAGTTATGAATAACAACTAAATTAAAAAAAGGGAAGAAAGAATAACATCCTAAATCAATCTATGATTAAGATATGCAAAATTTTTTTATGGTCATTATATCGACATGCATGGCCAATACATCAAATATTTAATGGTACTAAAATGTAATTTAATTTTGAAAAATACTATGCGTGACGTGCTTTGTCGAAGAGATGTTAAAAGTATTTGTAATGATACTCCGTTAAATGTTACATTGTTGTGTTGTTAAAGTACTATTCATATGGTGGCATATGTTCAATGTACTAACATTACTTTATACAATATTTATGTGACTTAAATACACGCAAAGTAAAATACTTCTGGGTAGCCAATCTGGCTCTCTTGACCCCCCCTCCCACTAACTCAACGGTAAGTCTGAAGGCTTATGACTCGATACTTGGTGGGCACAGCACAAATACCTTATTATGTAGCCTGGTGCTTAACAAACACACAAAAATCTGGCCCTCTTAAGGAATAGTTGTAGATACCAGTCTTATATCACTGGCGAGTCCATCTCAGAAGAGTGTGTAAGCCAAATACAAAAGAAGCTAGAGCCGCTTTCAGTACTCTATTGTCACTCAAAGCGTACCCTTTGATCACCGGCTGCCCCACCCTTCTGAAAGTCTTGGACCCGCCAGCGACCAGTGACTTATATAACGTTAACTTATTTTACCTCCTCCACTTCGATAACACAGGTAAGGAAAGCGCCAAACGTTCCCTAACCCCACAGCATATCCTACACTGGCGAGAATGTAGTCCAGTTTATTACTCCAATTGCCACGATCAGTCTCATAGCTGTCGTCGCTGTTCTCAGTGACCGTCGACTCCATATCTTCCTGGCCTGATGGCAGAGCTAGTTGGTCGTCCACCATGTTACCATGTCCCTTTTTTCCACAGTTATCAGACTTGGAGATTAAACTTTCCTCGTCAAACTCATCATCTTTGTTATGATGATGGTGATGATGGAGGTGATGGTGATGATGGTTCTAAAACGTCAAAATACAATTAAATCAAAATACTGGCATTACAAGTTACTGGTACATAAAATATAATTAACACAAATAAAAACACATCATGTAGTTCTAGCATCGAAAAGTAGTTTCGTGGAATACCAAATGCCAGATTATTATAGTAAAGAGCGAATAATATGAAATAAAAATAAGGGCGTACCACCAAAGGCTCTTCTATCATATCATAGAAGAAAATAATTCTTACGCACTGTTTTATTGTTAACTAAATTAAAATATGGATTTAAATATCCTAAACTAACTCAACTTCGTAAAAGTTACGAGAATTTACCCCGAAAATAGGAAGGACACTAGTGATGATTCAACGCATCTAATCATTATAGGTTTAACTGTATACTGATGTTTTAAAGCTCTCCTGGGAATATTCTATAACCAATAACAATTAACCTATAGCAACACATTACAGTTACGGGACTGGTATTGGTTCCTAGAATGTTAGTAGTTTAGGTACTTTTTAACCTCCCTAAGTTTGGATAAAACGGTACTAATGACGATAACAGTTCTACAAGAATAACTAGCGATATACCATATACACCATCTGGTGTCAATTTCTTCAGAAAAATTTTGATTCACACCCAAAAAATTTCTATATTCCAAAACTTGAGAAGGTACTTTATTCAAAATGACAGTTAACGGATTTTGGACTTTACAAGCCAAAGAAGTATTGTTTAAGACATTTGAGTTCCAGTAGCTTATTATTATTATTAAAGCACTACTTGACGAACTAGGTCTTACTTCTGAGAAACTTGTAGCTAAAATCTCCACCAAATGTTACTGTATTTTATCTATTTTTGTATATGTGTAGGCTATCTAGAAAATACGTTTTTTTATTTTTTATTTACATTTGATAACATTTAAACCTAACATTTTTCTACTCTTAATCAACTGTGAACACTACATTTTATTGAACTTAGAAAGAAGTTTTGAGACTAAGTGTTACCGTAAACCAACATTTAGTGGGCAATGTTTTCATTTTGACAGTTTTTTACCTTTTGAATTTAAGAAGAATTTAAATCATAATTTAATCCACCGGGCCTATAATATAGTTAGTTACTTTTCTGGGTTCAATGAAGAAGTAGAAAATATAAATGTCATTTTTTTTGTTACAAAAAAAAAAAGTTTTCCTGTACAATTAATTGATAGTATTAAAATTATTTTCTAAAATCAGTAAACATATTAAAACTACAGAAATTACTGTATTCTACCCTTTACTAGCAAACATGCAATAGAATTGGAGAAAAGTATTAAAACGATTTTGAATAACAAATTATCCACAAATTAAGTTCAGAATTGTTTCGGAACCGATATGTCTTACATGTAATTATTTCACATATAAAGACAGGATTCCTAAAACGCATCGCTCTTCATCTATAAATTTACATGTCCAAGGTGTAACCATGGCTATGTGGGCTCAACAATTTGTTGTTTAAGTTCAAGAATTAAAGAGCATGCGCAAAATACACTAAATAAGCAGTCGGCCATTCTTCGTTACTATAAATACACGAGTTGTTGTATAACCACACAACTTTTTCCCAGTTTAGCAGCGTAGTCAGGGCATTGGTCAAATAGAATATTCGGCGCACGACCGTGAAAGCGGGTTTTCTCGGAGTACTCCTGTTTCCCCAACACACAAACCAAAATATCCGGGCATTGGATCTATAGACTCCGTCCGCCCTGAAAAGTGTCATTTATCTATCTATCTATCTTCTTCATTTCTTAATGTAATCCCATTCCTTTCAACAAGTCCTCACGATTCAGTTAACTCTCTAACCCCACTTTTTTTTTTTATCCATCTTTCATTATTGTTATTATTACGCAACAATCCCCATCCTCCCCTTTACTTAATCACCATTACAGCATTTTTAATAACAACTACAGTCCTTTGAAGTGGTGTGCTGGTTACAAATATTCAGTACTTACTACCCCAACTCGATCAAGTCACCATTGAATTTGTATGGCCTTCTTCATGCTTCTCGACACTTTCAAGATGACAACACATTTAACTTCCACTCAGAAATTCTAAACAATATACTCAGGTTTTCATATAACTCAGGCTAACTACTTTCAGCCCCTTTAGCTAATATATAACTCACCATGAGTGGGATGAAAAGATACAAGACTGTGAAATTAGAATTACAACCAGCGATTTCAGCATCTTGGGAAGTGCGGCCATAGAAAAGATAACCCGCACTAAAGAAAGCTTGTGGATACACAAGGTGCGTCTTGAGTTGAACATAAACCAAATAATACCATGTTTGCTTCCATAGGTACAACAGAATACCTACTTTTAAGGAGTTTTGGTTTGATATATGGCATAGATTCTTATGCACAGGAAAATGTATCATATCAGACAAAATTATATACGACAAAAACAATAGAAAGTAGTATTGATAAACTTATTTTCTTGTTTTACTACGTTTTAAAAGGAGTTATCATTACTAAAACAATGCTGAATGGTGTATTGTATTACATCCACGAACAAAAAGCTGCGAGGGTCCTAAGTTCACAATGGATAATACTATTTCATATTTAAACATACCTATTTCTCATAACAGCAGCATTGAAGAGTCCTCATAACAAAGTAAAACAGTCAGAACAGTAACAAATAAAACAACACCAGGCATCTGACTAGGATATCTTCATGTTCTTCACCTGAACTGCTCCCACACGTTTCCTTCACTACAGTAGCTATGGACAGACTGTTAGGTATGAAAAGTCTACCTTCATACATTAATCAGTGTACCATTATTATGTGCAAGTGTTATCTATACTAATAAAACAGTGTGTGTGTGTGTGTGTGTGTGTGTGTGTGTGTGTGTGTGTGTGTGTGTGTGTGTGTCAGTCAGTCAGTCAACGCCATAGCTTCAAGAGGAAAGAGCCTAGAGACCTGAAACTTCGCACACAGGGAATTCTGAAGGTGTGCACCCGGGTATTATTTGTTGGCCTATAATTTTGCCCTATAGCCCTTAAGTCATAAAAAGAGAGAAGCACATGCTGCCATTTGTCGCTAGGTGCAACAAATTGTTAGGGAATAAGTGTTTAATAATAACAGTTTTGTAACAACAGGCTCGAAAAAAATTAAACGTTTGTATTTCTGATTTTCAAATTGATAAAGAATGTTTAATAAAAGTCGTTATTACCCGTGCAGCGAAGAAAAATTTGAAACAAGGTCAAATGTTTTTCGTTGCACAGGTAATAACGACTTTTATTTAAAAAAATATTTCAGAAAAATTGAAGGAGATATGAACGATACAAAACTTTCTTCAATCATTTTACAAAAATCATTTCTGAACGAGCAGTGCAGCTGAGTTTCACCAGAAAGTGAGAGGAGAGGAAATGACGGTTATAAATTCGTATCTCAAAAGGTAAGCGATATTTTCCATCATGCTTAACTGGCCCCTAATAATTGTTGTTTGAGACTCATAATGTAGGTAAATTAATATGTATAATTATACACGGACTTGTATATACGTTAAAATACTTTTATTTGCGTGATTTTGGCCATCTTACCGAGGCCTTTATCCGGCACAATGTACTGAGCGATAAAAATTCGTTAACTGTGGAACTCCGTTTTAAGCTAGGTATCTAGGCAACAGTCGTTACAATAATTGGCATCTAGTATTAAACCTATTAAACACATAGAATTGTGAAGAATCTATATAAATATGGTACTAGCGTCTGTTGTATGTTCCTGTAACTATTTCGCAGGGTGTGGATGGATGTTCACCAAAATTGGTATGGAGGTTCACTAAGTCCATGCGGGGGGTACACAAATTTTCAGTTTTGCCTTTTTTGATTGGCTGTTTTACCACTACTTCGTCCCCTGTAGATGGATCTTCACCAAATTCGGTATGGAGATTCATTGGATCCATGGGGAGATACACGCAAATTTGCGGTTTCTTGAGTTTGAAGTTTTTGTGTGCGTTTTTAACACTTACATATAAGGGAAGCAACTTTATGTCCTATAATAACCTTTCATTAATCATGAATTTACACAACTTCCGTCCATGAGACGGATACTCCAGCTAGTCTATATAAATATAATAGTGTTGTCTATTGTATGTCCATGAAACTACTTCACAGGGTGTGAATGGATCTTCACCAAATTTGGTATGGTGGTTCAATGGGTCCATGGGGAAATATATAAAAACTTTCAGGTTTGCATTTTGCGATTTTTACCACTACCTCACCTCCTTTGGATGGATCTTCACCAAATTTGGTATGGAGACTCAATTAGGTTCATGTGGAGATGCATACAGATTTTCAGTTTTTCATTTTGCGATTTTTTATGAGCGTTTTTGCCCCTACGTCGTCCCCTGTTGACGAATCTTAACCAAATTTGACAAGAAGATTTGTCTAGCCATTTCGGAGATACATTCAAATTTGCGTTTTCAGATTTTGTGTTTTGCAGATTTTATGAGCGTTTTTGCCCCTACGTCGTCCCCTGTTGACGAATCTTAACCAAATTTGACAAGAAGATTTGTCTAGCCATTTCGGAGATACATGCAAATTTGCGTTTTCAGATTTTGTGTTTTGCAGATTTTATGAGCGTTTTTGCCCCTACGTCGTCCCCTGTTGACGAATCTTAACCAAATTTGACAAGAAGATTTGTCTAGCCATTTCGGAGATACATTCAAATTTGCGTTTTCAGATTTTGTGTTTTGCAGATTTTATGAGCGTTT